ACGGTGAATAGTCGCATTACCCGACTACGCATCGACGACGCGCCGCTCCACGGCCGCAGACCGCCGCATTCCAGTTGCGCCACCGCTCCACGGTGAACAGTCTCACGGACCGACTACACGTCGACGGCACGCCGCTCCACGGCGAAGAGTCATACCGGCCGACGGCATATCGACGACGCGCCGCTCCACGGCCGCAGACCGCCGCATTCCAGTTGCGCCACCGCTCCACGGTGAACAGTCTCACGGACCGACTACACATCGACGGCACGCCGCTCCACGGCGAAGAGTCATACCGGCCGACGGCATATCGACGACGCACCGCGCTACGGCAGTATACATCAACCAATCGCCGAGCACCAACCACGTTACCGTTCCACGACGCGGACCAGCATCGATCGGCACCGCAACAACGACGATACGACACGCCGTTCCACAGACTCCGACGTCACACTATTAAACGGCCCTTTTCAGGGCCACCACTCACAATACCTCGACACTTACTCAAGTTGTTCGACCCGAGTTTGGTTCGCTGTCGGAGTACCGCTTAATCAAGCTTGTACCGACGGCGGCCAACTCCCTGGCCCGTTCAATTTTGTACATAAACAATCAATATTATTCATCACTTTGTAATATAGGATCCGGCACTTGCCCGATCATAAACCAAGCGCCCCCGATTGTGTCGACCCACTTATCAAGTCTGGTCGACACAAATCGACGCTTTACGCTATCCCTATTATAATTAAAATATATTTCACATAGCAATAGAGATCACTGATTACCAATAAATCCAGCGTTCTTTATTTCAAGACGCGGATCGCCCAACCGGGTGCTCCGTTTCATATGATATTGTCGAAAAAAATTCTGCTTCTGGACATCGTCAATCTCGTCAGTTCTGAACGAAAACACATGAGAGTTAAGCCAAAAAACAAAATCAATTTTATCAAAAATTGGTTTTGCGTAAAAATATCTGGTTTTCTTTGATTTGTCCGTGGTATTTCCCGAAGCTTAAAAATTACTAAATGTTTTTTGACATTTTATGTCTTTCCTCTGGCACATAGAATCGAAATCGAAAAAATTGCAAAATATAATTTTTCTCATCCGAGATTTGAACTCGATATACGCGTTTATCACACGATAGTCAGGTGCGATTGCACAGACACTCGATGTGTTTGATACTTCGACCCTTTCAGTATGTGCTACATCTGATAGCGAGGACAACAAAGACATAAAATGTGGTACTTCATTTCAGGCTCGTATTTTAGTTGGACCTTCCCAAAGTATACCAACTAGATTCACTTTCATACCAGAAAAATTGCCGGAATCAAAGAATTTTACTGCCTCAAAAGTTTATGAGAGACACAAAAAAAAACCATTTATTATCATTGTGTAAAATCAACACATTCATCGTTCCGCTCAGAGTCTAAAATACAATAAATAAATTATCGTATAGTTTTTATTTTTTAGAATTTCGCCCCGAATAATTTACAATCCCAATTAAATCAATTAACTGAATGATTAAACTGTAATGGTTTATTACGACCGTGTCTGAAGTATGGCCTTTACTTAAGACAATATGGTTTCTGTCTAGAGTCCTAGACATATAACATAATAATTATATCATTTAAACCTATTCGTTCACTTGATTCGTTTAAGTATTTATTTCTCTTAACCTTGATAAGCTATTAACCTGGAACAAACATATTAAATCAAAGAGATAAACCCGTAACGTCTGCATTAAAAATATTTCTAGAAAAAACACTAAACTACTAATGTATAAGTTACTCGTAAAACATAACAACATTCCGGATACAAGTTTGGTGGTTGGCAACACAATCAAACTAAAATAAATTCCAAGTTTTTAGTACATAAAACTCTGCAAAAATGTAATAGAGATACTCCATCTCTTGATATTCTATCTTAATTCTAATTATATTTTCTGATTTATAACGACTTTGATTGAAAATTAAACTTCTATTTTCCCTTGTCTAGAAAACCACCACTGCCAACTCATGAAATACCTACACACTCTTTCACTACCTGGAAATCTTTGCCACCGACTCAATGGGATTGTGATCTTTTAAATTAATTATTTTTTTTACGTTTTACTTCCATTAAAGCTAAGTGTCACTAATGGGTGTCTACTGATTACAACTTACTCGTGTAGGTCCCATTTATGTTTTTTTCTTTATCACACGTGTTATACTTACTTTGCATAAATCTATGCAAGGTCGTACATATTATTTCTATCAAACTAATAATAATAATAAAAAAACAACAGTATATTTTGTTACGAAATCTAAAATGTTAGTTAGCACGTAACTGTTGACACATTTTGAGGAAGGTAACTGTGTAATATGTTTACTCCAAAACTATATAGATATACTAATACATTTTTTTAGATGAACATCTATAATAATAATATTATGTTATTTGAAAAATAATTATTATTCATTAATTAGTTTTGTTACGAAGGCTTTAAAAGTTGAATGTTATAATATAATGAAACAAATATGTGTCTATATCATTTTATTAATACCATTGTCGATATTAAATTTGTATCAGCGTTTTATTTTACAATGGCGTGAACACGTACGCACAAAAGTTGAAAGGAATTTACCATAATATATAATAATTAGATGGTGGATTTGTATTCACTAAAAAGTGTCAAAATATATCATATAATATGCGGTAAAAATCATGAAAATATGCAACAAATAAACAAGAAAAAATTTTAAATAGTGTAATTATGTGGTAAACAAAAATTCAAAATTTAATAGTTTATACATTTGTGTCTAAAAAATATTTTAAAACAAATTAAACATTACAGGACAGGTTATCTAGGTACTTGATGAAGAAAAAATAATTTTTAATTTTATAATTTATAATTTAATATTATTAAAATTAATAGTAATTTGTAGTGCCCCACTGCCCACAAACATTGTATTATTAAACAACCTATTTGACAAAATATTATTCTATACATTTTTTTTAAATATTCACTTCAATAATCTTCTTATATATATATAAATGAATTGCTTTTTGTTAGTCTCGCTAAAACTCGAGAAAGGACAGATTTAGATCAAATTTTTTTTAAGATGTTAGTAATTGTCAGTAGAAGATCTAAAAGGTCCAAAAGGTATAAAAGGTCCAACCAGGGGACGTGCTGAAACGGGGATTTCGAGATTTAAGGTGAAAATTGTTGTTTATAAATGGTCGCCATGGGTTTTAAAGCTATAATAATAATAATTATTGGTTGCCGTGTACTCATTCAATGCATTTAAATTTTTTGTACGCTGTGTTTTAATATTATATAATGACGTACCGAAACTACGTAAATATTGAGAGGATTATACTCACATATATAAGATACTTACATAAAACGATGGCACGTCTTCGGAGATGAGGAGGAAATCACAGACTCGGCATTCACAATTAGTCCAGCCGTTTAGGAGGAGTTCAGTGACATACTTGGTATAACTTTGATACATTAGAGTTAAATTATACACTTACTTACAAACAGCAGATAATATACTGCTGCGAATCGGAATATTTATACCGGGAAACGGAAAAATTAAGATGAATTTTGAGCACTATACACCGAATTAATATTATATAACGAATTGAACAAAGTTTGAGTCGTATAGAGTTGGTAAATTTAACGGGTAAAGAAGTGCACGGGATCAGCTAGTATATTATGTAATACATTTTGAATTTTGTCGAAATACGCATAAATATGCAATAACCATTAAATATGCAGTATAAGTATGATAAATTGCCATCGACTTCAAATTATTACGATTCGTAAAGATTACCGACGAAAATCCCGAAAATGTGAAAATTAAAATTTTAAAATCATATTATGCAATTGTATAAAAACCCGTTCTTCAATAATAACATACAGGGTGGGGCACTGAAACGGCCGATTTTGAAAATAGATTTTCTGAGTAGTAAATTCTCAATAATATTATTAATAGTTCTAAGACAACATGCCGTTTAGTAAACATGGAACAGTGGAGTGGTAAGCAACGTGCTTATGCGATAAAATTGTTTTACAAAAATAATGACAGTTACGTAGCCGCACAGCGTGCATTTCGTCTTCATTTTAATCTTAAACGCCATGATTCGGTACCATCGGCTAAGGCTATTCAAATATGGATAACCAACTTTGAAGAAACGGGTTCAGCATTAAAAAAGAAGCCTGTACGACAAAAAACCATTCCAACACCTGAAGATGTCACTGCAGCTGTCAGAGCCGTGTAGTGGAAAATATACGAAATAGGCTAGAAGAGTGTTTGACCAGAGACGGTCATCATCTTGAAGACATCATTTTTAAAAAATAAACGGCAAGTTATGTACTTCATTATAATAAATAATAATTAATTTTTATTCGTTTTTTTATTTTATAATTTGTCTTAGAAAATCGGCCGTTATAGTGCCCCCCCCCCCCACCCTGTAACTGTCAAACTGACCGATAATAATATACAATACGCGTACAATATAATAATTATATTCAGGGCCGGCTCAATGTGGTAGCAAAATAGGCAGCCGCCTAGGGCGGCACTAGTGTGGGGGCGGCAAATTTCAAATGAACCAAAGTGATTTAATTATTATAAATTATAATATAATATAGTCTGCTGAATTGTATGTTCATTACTCAAATATACAAAAAAAGTTTACCGAGAACGCACTAAAGTCGTAATACTGCATGAATATAAATAGAACGGCGATAACAATACATGCATTAGTCGACCACAGACGAATGCACGTTCTTATCGAGTTTAAAATTATTATTTAATTGGAAAATAATTTTCAATGACACAACGGCATTTAGTCCCGGACTTTCAGCCGCCCGCCGAACACGTAAATAATTTTTGCCGTAGAGGGATAGTGATAGTAGACCAAGTGCGTGAACGTGTACAATTTTTATTAAAATAAATTTATAACTGCAACACTTAATTGGTATTAATTTTGTTAAATTATCACGTTAATATTTATTGAATATGTCAGAGCAAAAACGTATACGATTATCAGGAGCTGCATATCGAAAACAAAAATTAAAACGTGATGAAGAAATTAAAAAAAACTCTGGTTCCTTTGAAAAATATTTGAAAAAAAATAATGAAGTTTTAAATAATCCAGAAACACATTCTAAAATTATTTCAGAAGAACCAAATACCTTAGAAGTTACTGACAGTTTAAAAGAAGTTGGTAACTCAGAACAAATTTCCGATAGCATTGACATTTTCAATAATGAAATAAACATAACGTTGGAAGAAAATGCGAGTATTAAATCTAATGAAAATGAAAATAACATATCTGACCCCGGGACATGGCCAGCGATTTTTTCAAATTCATTACGACTTCAATTAGTAAAAACAGGTCCCATTAAACCAAATAAAGATTTTAAATATCCTAGAGATGCGTTAAATCGACGGTTTCCAATTTCAATTTTAAGTAAAGAATTAAAAAATGGTGAAGTTATAGAACGTACGTGGTTAATTTATTCTGTTAAAAATGATGTTGTGTACTGTTTTTGTTGTAAAATATTTAGTAGTGAAAATTATGCACTGACTAAATTTGGCTGTAATGATTGGAAAACATTAGATAAACATTAGATATATCTGGCGCAGAAAATATTTTATCTGAAACAATTAATTTTTTGAAAAAAATTCGATGTGATGAGAGTTTTGATAAATTCTTAAGAGATGCTGAAACCATAGCTCTTGAATTGGATATTGAGGCTTCTTTTAGGCAACAAACTTCTATACGCCCACGAAAAAAGAAAACTGTGTTCTTTTCTTATGAACAACCAGATGAACCCATAATTAATTTAAAAACTAAATTTAAAGTTGAATTATACTTTTATATATTAGACGTAGCTCTCAATTCTCTCGAAGAAAGATTTGAACAATTACATAACCACTGCGATAACTTTAAATTTTTGTATGATATAAGTAGTCTAAAAAGTATAACGAAAGATAACATTGTGAAAAATTGTATGGATCTTCAATTGCTACTATCAGAAAATGAAAATGTTAGTAATTCAGATATTGATGCTATAGAAATGACAGATGAGTTAGTAGCAATATCTGAGTTATTAAAACCCAACAGTACTCCATTAGAAGTGTTACAGTTTATTGTAAACAATAACAATTTTGTACCAAATGTAGCTGTAGCACTTCGAATTATTTTAACTATGCCCGTGTCGGTCGCATCTGGTGAACGGAGCTTTTCAAAATTAAAAATAATTAAAAACTATTTGAGGTCTTCTATGAATCAAGAAAGGTTAAGTGATCTTGCTACAATTTCTATTGAAAAAGAAGTAATGGAAAATCTGGAGTTCAAAAATTTACTGATTGATTTTGCCCAAGAAAAGGCTCGCAAAATTAATTTTATTTAATATATTTTTTTTTTTTTTGTTATATATTTTTTAATGTTAAATTAAATACATATTTTTTATCTATGATAACGATAATGAATGTATAACAATGGTCAAAAATATTACTTGTTCTATTTTATACCCAACATTTATTTTAATTTTATTATTATTATTTTATATTTTGTAAAGAAAACTTAGGTCAGTCAAAACATTTTATTTTTTTTTAATTAAACAAGGGTTCATAGATAAAAATGAATGTCCTTATTTTATCAATACACTCCTCTCCAAAAAAATAACTATTGCATAGGGCAGCTTAAATCAGATTTGCCTAGGGCGGCAAAAAACCTACGGCCGGCCCTGATTATATTTCAATATCATTTGTTCCAAAACATGTCGATATCGCACACCGATCAAAATGTTCTAGTTATGTTACTCTAAACACTGAAACACACCTGCAGGGTTGATCGTGCAGCAGACAGTGTGTATTTCTTCACTTCTCCCGATAACTTATACAGGGACACTCGAGTTCTATACATATAGGTACCCACACAATAGTGACAATACACACTATTATTATATTATACGCGTAAGCATTATAATATGATATTATAACATAATATAGGACATAGCGCGTGTATTATGCCTAATACTATATTATGCACTGACAAAAGTTGCATTCCCATAATAATATTTCTTGGGCGCGTCCCATTGTTCGCCGGCCTGGCAAACGATGACGGGAAACGAACGCGGTGCGACTGTTCGGAAAGTCTCCGTTTGCGCTCGGTGACAACAAACTTCGAACTTACCTATATCGCTGCAAGTAGGTGTACCTACCCAATGTTATTTTAGAATGTATACATACGGTACATATGCGAGAATATAATACAGTGGAACCTCGATAAGTCGAAAACCTTGATAAGTCGACAAAAATTCCGTCCCCTTGCGAAAACCTCGATTACTCGAAAAAAAAACTATAGATAACTCGAACATTCTGTGCTCCGAATATGACGGATAATGACAGATAATTTTATAAACATTTGTCTAATCGGCTTGCCCGATTATTGCGATAATTTTATTTAATCTTCATTGTTTCAATGAAGCAAGCAACAGCAGCCCTCATATTGCTAAGGACATTCACCGAACAATTGAGTAATGTGGACGATAAAGTGTACTCTGCTTTAAATGTAATAGAAAATACAGTTGATAATAGCAAATCTCAAATTTTAAGTCAAAGTAAAATAATAAATTATCTTTTATAAAGTTGCAACACATGTTTTATTATATTTTTTTGTAATAATTTTTTTATTTAAATAATCTATGTAATCACATTTTTTTACATTGTATATACATATATTATACTAGGTACATTATAATTAAAAACTTTAATACATACATACATTTTCAAAACTCTTTAAGTCGAATTTTTTTTCTAAAACCTTGATAACTCGAAAACCTTAGTAAGTCGAAAACCTTGATAAGTCGAAAAAAATGCATTTCCCTTGAATTTCGACTTATCGAGGTTCCACTGTATTATGTGTTTGAGTGGATGGTTACTAATTTTTCCAATTCAATTTGTGCGTCCTTCCACGGAAGCTTTGAAATAGATATACCTGCATGCTACCTACATAACGGTATTATGGCAATTTACGACGAGTGAAGACGTATATTACATTTTCAAACCGCAATACCGATTATATATTATCAATATTGGAAATGTTGACGAACATTAGCTTATAAATTCAATTGTTTAATATACTAAAAAGCTCGAAATTAATTTTAATATAATATCATGTAATATTGTTGTTATTATAAAATATCTTTATTTTACCCACACAATAGTGACAATACACACTATTATTATATTATACGCGTAAGCATTATAATATGATATTGTAACATATAGGACATTGGCATAGCGCGTGTATTATGCCTAATAATATATTATGCACTGACAAAAGTTGCATTCCCATAATAATATTTCTTGGGCGCGTCCCATTCTTCACCGGCCTGGCAAACGATGACGGGAAACGAACGCGGTGCGACTGTTCGGAAAGTCTCCGTTTGCGCTCGGTGACAACAAACTTCGAACTTACCTATATCGCTGCCTGCACGTAGGTGTACCTACCCAATTTTATTTTAAAATGTATACATACGATACATATGCGAGAATATATTATGTGTTTGAGTGGATGGTTACTAATTTTTCCAATTCAATTTGTGCGTCCTTCCACAGAAACTTTGAAATAGATATACCTGCAGATACCTACATAACGATATTATGGCAATGGACGACGAGTGAAGACGTATATCACATTTTCAAACCTCAATACCGATTATACATTCCCATAATAATATTTCTTGGGCGAGTCCCATTGTTCGCCGGCCTGGCAAACGATGACGGGAAACGAACGCGGTGCGACTGTTTTGAAAGTCTCCGTTTGCTCGGTGACAACAAACTTCGAACTTACCTATATAGCTGGTCGTAGGTGTACCTACCCAATGTTATTTTAGAATGTATACATATGGTACATATGCGAGAATATATTATGTGTTTGAGTGGATGGTTACTAATTTTTCCAATTCAATTTGTGCGTCCTTCCACGGAAGCTTTGGAATAGATATACCTGCAGCTACCTACATAACGGTATTATGGCAATGGACGACGAGTTAAAGACGTATATTACATTTTCAAACCTCAATACCGATTATAAATTCAATTGTTTAATATACTAAAAAGCTCGAAATTCATTTTAATATAATATTATGTAATACTGTTGTTATTATAAAATATCTTTCTTTTACCCCGAAAGAGGTAAGTTTCTGACGATTCGCCCCGAACTTGTACAGTAATATAAACTAAATTAAACCATGGCTTTAACGGATTTTAAATGAGTAACTCCTGATAAAAAAACCTTCTAGGAAATCCAAAACTCCTTATAGGTACCTACATCAAAATAGAAAATTTTTTTTAATGATTTTCAAAATGTATATTGAAACTAAAACCAATAATTTATCCATCAAAATTGTATTCATAATTAAATTTAAAATTTAAAAATACTCAACAGTTCTGTAATATTGTCAATTAGTAGATCATATTAAGTATAATGAATAAAACCAACTGTAACTAATAACAATTAGATTTCGTTTTCTTAGGGCCTTTTCACAGCCTGAAAACTAGCGAAAGTCGTATGGCTTGCAGCAAAAAGGTAGACATAAGAATTAAAATCATAAAATCAAAAAACTGTGAAATCGTGGTATTTGAAACCATATACAAGTGCTTTTGTTGGTACTGAGGTGTCAATAGGGCACCATTGTAACGAAATTATAAATTGAAAAACTGTAAAAACGAATTGTTGATCGATTAATAATAATCGTTAATAACTGATATAAAAATGGTATAGAACAGCCAAACCGGAGAATGTAATCATCGTTTTCGGAAATCTGATCATCGCACCGTTCCTCTTTTATGTATGTTTGAGTACTATTGTTATCAAATTAATGGGCTGCAAGGAGAAAATGAAAAAACACATGCCCAATCATAAAATAATATTATCGGACATTTTAAAACTTCAAGAAAATGACATAATATTTTGAATGAAATAAATCTTCATTTCGCGTTATATGAATCGCAAAAATGCTTGGGATCGGCGGAGGCTGGGAAAACTCTAAGTATAAACTAACTAAGCCTAAACTAAGTATTTTTTGTATATACAGTGCAAACAAAAACCCTGGAACGTACGATGCACTATGACATAAACATATTTTATGTTATAGGTATTATTATCGTTTGGTGATTTGTAGCCGATTCCACGGGGTCGGCATATTAACGTTTCGTGAACGAAGTGCCAAATTTTACTTTTGAAATTCTCACAAACTCAAATTAGGCTCGTTCGTTTACATTATACAAACATACCTATACAAATACAATACGATGTAATAAACAATTTCAATAAAAAAAACCAAGTTGAATAAAAAAGTCTATTAAGAATGAAAAATCTATATTTAATAAAAAAAATTAAACAAATCTAAATAAAAAAAAACAAATCTAAATATAAACAAAAAAATCGGTTCGATATAAAATCTATATTGAATAAACAACTGGAAATCAAGTTACAAATTCTGAATTTTTGGTTACGAACTGGTTACTTAAAATTGGTCCTACATAGATTTCAATAAGCGAACTTTCATTTAAGGGGGAGCTGGTGTAACGTTACCTCTGCACACCCGGGAGAAAAA